GATGAACAGTCGCTGAAGAGTTGTTTGGATTGTCTCAAAGTCTTGCGATTATTGCCAAAGAAGTCAATCGATGACAACGAATGCAACTCATTGTCGATCCAAACAATGGTTTGTGTCTTAAAGTCAATGGCAATACAAATCGGAAGTCGAATGTCTTTATAGACCAGAATCTGGGGATCACTTCCGTCTTCATTGCATTTCCTAATAACTGCCGATCCGTTGGAAGTCATATACTCTGACCACACGATGAACCCATCAAAGGGGTTGANAAATCGGAAGTCGAATGTCTTTATAGACCAGAATCTGGGGATCACTTCCGTCTTCATTGCATTTCCTAATAACTGCCGATCCGTTGGAAGTCATATACTCTGACCACACGATGAATCCATCAAAAGGGTTGACCACCACTTGACCCGTCATCCATGTCTTGTACTTATTGACCGTATTGTTTGTGACGGCATAACCAACGTCTGGATTGTGGACATCCATGGCGTGAATATTGGTGTAATTGAAATAAAAGACCAAATCGTGGATCCAATCGACGGCTATATGTCTGTATAAACTGTTTCTCTCGAAATGTGTCGATCGTTTGTATATCTGAAGCAAAGTTTGTCCATCATTTGGATCCACTTTTGTCTTAAGTTCAGCCATTGATAGAGAATAAGGGTATCTATCGTTTGACCAAACGATGTACTTGTCATTGATGTCAAAATCCAAGCCTTTTATCCTTTCGTATCTCATTTCATATGCTTTCGTAGAGTTTTCAGTGAATATGACATCCCGTCCCTCCGAGAGGTAATCATAATTAATACCATTGCTGTTGTTATTAAACAATATTACTGGCATTTCTGTGGCACCGGTAGTTATCACAAGTTGTAATAAAACACAACTAGTTATACCTAATAATAAAATTATATATTTGCTCATACTAATAATTACAGTAGTATTGTATGATAATATAAAACAGATATTATATAAAATTAAACAAATTTATAGAAAATTATTGAAAATTTAAGTTTTTATAGATTTAAAAAGAAAAATATTTAATTATATGAAACATATCTCTACTTATATTATAAACAAACATTTCCTTGAAATTAAAATCACAAGTAATTAATTACTATTAAGAATGGAAACACTTTTCGTACGAAATCTGATTAAAAGCCAATCATATAATAAACATTTTCAACATTTGTACTTATGTTTTAAGTACCAATGTAAAGAATTTAAGTATTTATACCAATGTTTTATGTTATTTCATAGCACTGCTGTAAATTAATGTATTTATCATAAATTTTATGTCATATAAAACTTGCAATTTTCCAGATTAAAATTTTAAATATATTCCAGTTTATTTACAATGTAATTTTACATCCAGGTACCCATACTGTCCAATATTGACCTATTAATAGATTGCCGGATTACTATCACAGAACCATTTATTATCATTTAATTCTTTAAGTAATTATATTTAAAATAGTTTTATTTTGTAATTTATTATCATTTAACTTGACAAATTCACATATTTGCGATTTGTTTATATAATATATTCAAGTCTTAATATTTTAAAAATATAATAAAACATTGTACAGAATTTTGACATATTTATTTGTTATGAATAATATTATTTTAAACAATATTGTGATAAATAATGAAAATGCTTACTCGCTAGTAGTCAATTATTATTAATCCCTGATATATTTTAATTTAAAAATTGAAACAATTATAAAATATAAACATACAAATAAATACAAAAATTAATTCACATTTTAATTACACAATTGAATCACAATTGATCAGGGTCATTGGATGTTTCATTGAGATATATTTCTTCCCGGTCATTTCGAAATTTAGCCCAAAGGTTGCCAGAAAAGGGTCTATAGATAAATAGATAAATTAAAATTACTATCCAGATAAATATGACCAACATTAAGTTGGCTGAAAAGTACAAATTCCGTGAAATATGCAGAATATTATAGTAAAACAAATTATTTATCAGTTGTTATAAAACTGAATCCTATTTCAAAAATCAAATAAACACAACAAACCGTCTCATCCGATTGGATGTTTCATTGAGATATATTTCTTCCCGGTCATTTCGAAATTTAGCCCAAAGGTTGCCAGAAAAGGGTCTATAGATAAATAGATAAATTAAAATTACTATCCAGATAAATATGACCAACATTCAAAAAATAATATTTTGCAAAAATATATAACACAGGCTTTTAACATATTTATATAAAACTAATAATTTCTTACACTTTCCGCTTTCGGTAAATAAAAACAGCGATTAGTATGAGATTAATAGCAATGGACACCAATGCCACTGCAATCCAGTGGTTATTATGGGACTCAGTGGGCACCATAACAGGTCCGAAGAGTGTATTATTGATTAAAGTATCCAATTTGTGTGATATGTTTGCCATATTTGAGTGAATACTGTGGTCAACGATCTGACTATGAATGGGATCCGTATTCCCAATCAATGGCACAGTTGTAGTGGTGGGGGTTGTGGTCACCTCTGGTCTTGAAGTTGGCTGAAAAGTACAAATTCCGTGAAATATGCAGAATATTATAGTAAAACAAATTATTTATCAGTTGTTATAAAACTGAATCCTATTTCAAAAATCAAATAAACACAACAAACCGTCTCATCCGTGCAAATATCAGCGAAAGCATTACTATTCTTCGAGCAAACGCACCGGTAGTCCAGTTTCGTGGGAAGGCATATATGCGTGCATTTGGCGCCCAAACACCGATTCGTACCGTTTGTCTGTCGAGTTCTGTCCAACACTTTGATGCCCTCAATGTCCGTATAGGCGTTCACCAGAACTATCCTATCGGTGCGATTCAGGCCCTTCCTATGGGTCACATGAATGGCGTTATTCTCATAATTAGACCAAAATATATTGTCTCCGAAGACGTCCATCGAGAAGGAGGCGTCGAAAAGGTTACGCGAAGTCATTATAACTGTCGCATCGGTGGCCGACATATAGTTCATTGAATTCAGTGTATAGACGGCCGTATCGATCCAATAGACTATCTGTTCACTAATATCTATAGCTATCGTATTGGGGATCTTAGCCGCTCTCGTCAGCACCTGTATGTCTGAGCCGTCTATATTAGACCGGACTATCCGTCCCGAGTGTTCATTAGTGACCATATTATAGCTCCATTGAGACCACACCAGTAGGCCATTGATGGGATCCACGGACACATCGCCCTGTATTTCATTATGTCTAATGACATCATACGAGTAGACATTGTTTGTGTCGTTGATACTGAACACCTCCACGCCCTTAGACACCGACACAAACACCAAGTCATGCAACCAGTCGTACGCCAAGCGCTTCGAGTTATAGCTCCTCCTCAAAAGTTTTGTCTGTTGTCTGACCGGCGATGGTTTGGTCTTATCAATGGGCGCCACATATAGGGACAGACCGTCGAAAACACTACTTTCCAGTCATAGCATGAAGTTCTTGGCGTAATTGTAGTCCAATTCTGTGATCCAATCGGTGTCTAAATACAGATCAATGGCTTCGATGTAATTGGTGTTCAACTCATCCACATTTGGTTTGACGTAAACGCCTT